GTAACAACATATCAAGCAATGTAAGAGCATGTGCTAATATTTCACTATTTAAGAACAAAATGAATAATATTTATCATGAAAGTTATAAGATGAAACGGTACCACTGCCAAGACGGGAACAACTGTATTATTTGTAAAGAAATTCGTCAATAATAGTCAATGATGTTGAAGTGCAATTTATATGTTGCTTTATTGCTGCTATTTAATTTAATTATTTATATAATTTTACAGTGTTTAAATTGCTATCCAAGACCGACATATTATTTTTATTTTTATCATTATTATTATTATTATTTATTATTTATTTTATTTTTATTTTCTTTGCTATTATTCTTATTATTATAATTATTATAATTATTATTATTATCTTGATCTATGATATGAAAGTTCTTTAATTAAAATGTATACCTTGACTTACTTTGTCAATTTGAAATAGTATCTTAATTACTAGTGTAAAGCTCTGCTTGTTTGTGGTTGCCCTTTCCATTTCCATTTTTATATCTTACTGTTTATCTATGCTTTGAAAAGATTTGGAATAAATTTATTTTGAATTTTGAATTCAGGTCACCATTGCGTGCATGTAAAGGCACCGAAAGACGTAAATGTATAGTAGGCCAACATCTTTAAAAAAAACCAAAGAGGTCGTTATTTCATAGCAAAATGCTGAGACAGAATTTTCAGTTAGGCGGGTAATGATTATGTCAACGATGACGATGACACTGATAATAGAATACTGTAATAATAACAAATTTATAATTAAGAGTGACAAGATTTATGATGGATGAAGGCAGGCGTCGATGAGAGATGTATTGTTTTAATGACGTCCACTAACTAAAGTCTTGGTACCGTAATTGATGCTTATAACTGAGATGACGTAGCCTATTCTTATCTGTGTATTGACTATTGAATTGAAGAAGAGTATCAGTGCCTATTATCATTAATACTGAACATGTCTTGGAATACTAACAATTGTTACTGTATAGGACACAGGAGGCAAAATACGTCATCTGCATTAATGATACCAAAAAGAAAACAACAAAAAGGTCATAGGTTAGATTCTTCATTTTGCAAGTAAAATCCTCGTAGCCACCTTCCATGCATCACCCCAACCCTCATTTCAAAGTAATATAGCATACACTACTCACGCTAATATTTCATAAAACATAACACAGTGGGTGGATCCAGGTAAAAAGAAGGATAGGTGAGAAAGTAGGAAGGGGAGGGCCTGCGCCTGGGAGGGGAAGAAACGATAGGGAAGAGGAACATACACTCCATCTGCTTTTACTATCACGATTGTTAATTCCATTACCAATAGATTCTGAAATAACTGTTAACACCATCCCACTCCCTTGCTTCTCATTTTCCCATCACCCCTGAATCCACCCAAGCAAATAAATGAAACACACATAACCAGGTATAAATAACAAAAGAAAATTTATACAAATATATACATAAAAGTATAATACTCAAGAACGATTCCGAGTAATAGTAGTTCAATGACAAATCACCTAAAGCAACATGCATTTAACGACTACATCGAATGAAGATCATACAAACTCAGGTACAGGGGCGAACATGCATATATGAATGAAAAAAAAAAGTTTATAATAATAAGCCTAATAATAGTAAAACCACTAATGAGAGATAAGAAACCATGATTTCACTGTTATTTAACAATGTTCAACTCAAAATCTCCTCAAGATAGTTTATTCATTATAAAATTGCTCGTGAAGATTTGACCACATTGGCGCACCATACCTATTTGACAATAATTACATGAATTGCATATATATAGGTAAATGAACTACGGTAATAGTTATGCATGCTTACAACCGACTATTGCTCAATAGTCACAATATTCATTTTTATACATATCACAAATCATGGAATATTTCATCCATTTTGTTCAAAAATTCAATGGCTTGAGGATACCATTCTATCCATATAAAGTTAAACAATACAATGACTTTTTAAACATCATATATTATAGTAATTTTTGTAAGTAATACCTTTCATTTATTTTGTTTAAATTTATAAAACATTTGAGAATATCATCTACCCTCAAAATATATTTTTGTAACACCTTTGTTTACTGAAAAATCTTACGTAGATTATTCATGATCTCTTAAATTCATCTTATACGACAATCTAATAAAATTATTTATTAATCTTGGTCCATTTAAAAAAAAAAAAAATTACATGTACTGCTGTTAAACTGATTGGCATATTTTAGTTAATTTCAAATTAAAAATAAGGGCCGGTAACCACAGCAATGACCTCAACACAGACCCTGAATTAAAGAATCAAGTATCTACAATGTCTAAATAACAATTGATTAAATTGATGCAAACATGCATCTCCTTATTTTTGTCTCAACCTTAATGCTTCTTTCTGAATTTCTAATGAAGTTGAACAATCACACTTCAGCATGGTATTACATCATTATTTCTCAAAAAAATGTTCTTACGAAAATGTAAATACTATTAGAAAAAATAAATCTTGCTACAAAACCAGAAGTTAAACATGAAATGAATTGGTGGGCTGGAAAATGATTAGCCATTAGTTTGAGTAACATTTAGTAAAATATGCAAATATTACCGTTATCCCTGCGGTATAAACACACCCTCCCCACCTTGAACACAAATTAGACAGATTTTATTTTTAACTTAGTGCATGCCAAATTCAAAGTCAACCTTAGAAGTTGTCTGAGGGTTTTTTTTTGTTGTAAAAGTCAACCTGGCTACTCAGTCAAATCCTAACCTGGGCTTTTGCTCAAGGAGAGGCTGGTATGAAAAACTAGGAGTAAAGCAACGCGAGGGCTTATACACGAGAGGTGCTTATACTAGATGAATTACTACAGTATTTGAAAATTAGGAACTTTTGTTGCTATATATATTTATTCAAACTGACTTCATAATTAACTTAATCTACTGTGTTTGTTGCATAGACCAAATGATAGTACATGCTAAATGAGAATAAATTATGACTGAAACACCAGTGCAAAAGTTTCTAAAATGTAATTTTATACTCTCTGGGAGGAAACATCATCATAAAAATATTACCTAAAATTCTAATATTCCAGAATTTTTTAAAATAAATTAACTATAAATAATTATCTTTAAAAAGTAATTACATTAAGAACCATAAAAATTATATATTAAATTAACTACTACACCTGTGGTTAAAAAAAAATCAATCAGGCACAAACAGTGAAGGTGCACCAAAATTTTTGCAATAAAGGAATCGTTTTGTTTCATGGTTCTGGTGGGTAGCAGTACAGTACGGTATCCCTACCAGCCCCATCGCTTGAATGCTTGGTTGGGAACAGAGAGCGCACCGACCGTTGTCTGAGGGCATTTCATCAAATATCATGGAGGAAACCAATTTTGGTGGTTGTACTGCTTGGTATAACCATGCAGGTATTGGTATGAAAACCATTATGGTAGTAAAGGTAAAGGTCAAAATGTAAATGAGAATTAAACTAAGGCATAACAGCTCTGGGAAATATCTAAATGGATATGGTGATACCAAATATGGTAATAAGTAAACCAATGCAGTAGCAATATATATATTTGGTTGGAGAATCTGGTACTAAAGAAAATACCAACAGATGGGGGAAATGTAATGGGCTATAAAATATATATA